GCAATTCATCTTTATTTATGTATTTAGTTGTAATTCTAATGCTCACGTTCAAGTATACATTTCACTATTTACGTGCATATATAATAATTAACATTTATCTTCAAGAGCTTACATTTCTTTCATACTTAGATCCAAAAGGTAAATGAAGTGTCAAATATTATTTTCATAACATTTATAAAACATTTCAGAATAACGTGCAACACACATTTAACTTTGACTAATTATTTTAAACGTAACTTCACTAAGATGAATAATCTAAAATATTAAAATTTGATTAATATTTCATATTTAAATGACATAATTTAGCCTTCTCTGGTCTTGATAAAATCATCCTAGTATCAGAATATGATTTTTTGAAATTACATTTAGAGGGTGTTTGGTAGAGATTAAAATCGGATTAAAATTGAAAAACTAGCCGTTATTGTTAACTTTTATTAGATGAGTGGGACCCAATAACGGCTATATTTTCAATTTTAATTGGATTTTGAGCCGTACCAAACAGACCCTTACCCTTTTCGTTGACCAAAAAAATGAATTTTATAAGTGGGATGAGACTCGCCAATTTAGGTTACTAATTACACAAACTTGTGTAAATTATTGGAGGCGATTCCTGTTGCACTCTCGAAATCAATTTTCCATTTTGTAGTCCAAAAAGCAGCAGCGACTGTTTGAGTCCCAATTTTTTTTTTTTTTTTAAATGCATTTTGAAATAGCAGATTGATCGAAAATACGTGGTTAAAAAATAAGATTTTTTTTTTAAATTTGTATGTAATATTATTTTATTGAAAAATGCGTGGTTGGAAATAAGATAGAGAAAAATGTATTTTGAAAATAATAGGAATCAGACAATGGCTAAATTTTAGTAATTTGCCATTCGGATGATATTTCCAATGTTTATTTTGATATATTATATTCCCTCTTCTTAAATTTGCTTCCATTTTATTAAGCAAAAATATAAATAATATGGTTAAAAATATGAATTTTATTTACATTTTTTTAAATATATCTTTACATTAAATAATAATTTAAATAAAAATAATTCATATTTGTTGATAATAAAGCATACTAAATTGGGGCATATTAGAAAATTCAGAAATTAACTATGTTCTCAGCAAGAAAAAATGACTTATAATTTGGGACGAACGAAAAAATGAAAACAAGACTATTTTTATGGGACATGGAGAATAGCATATATTTTCGTTCAAGATTAACTCTTTTAAATGGTGTGATAAGCAATCTTCTAGAAATAAGGATAGAGACGGAGAGGATTGGAGCCGGAATAGTTATTCTCGTACTTCATCCTGTCGAGACAGGTCACCAGAGCCGGCCCTGAGAATTTAGAGGCCC